CTTAAAGCTGCAGTCCGTAAGTTTTGCCTCTTTGTCGCCATCTCTGTTTGAAAACCTGCAATTGCAGCTGTTTGCGGAATTATCTTCCTTGCCTGGGTTGTGCTCCGGCACGGCTCCAGCGCGGATGAATCTAATGTTTTGAGTAGTATGTGTGGCAGTCTGTCACCGCACCGGTGTGGATATTGTACTTAGGAATCGCAGATTCTAGCCTACGCCTCTTCTCAAATTGTTAATGTTAACAACATCAGCATTACGTGACTATGTGAATATAGTGTATAAGCGAGTAGATTTCAATTATCAAAGAGAGTCTAATCTCTAATTGTCATACCAATCGAATTTCGCCTAGTAGCCGGGACAACTTCTTTATGTTTACAGATGTGACATAATGACGTGGCAGCATGCTCGAATTTCCGCGAAAACCTACCCGTACTACTCAAATTAGAAAACATTATTATAAGCTTACCGTTGTGAATCGGGCTAAAGTAAGGCGATAGTTTTGAACACTGGCTGGTTATGTACTTGCTCAAATATTGATTTCGGATCATTTTTAACCAAAAAAAGTTATGGACTGCAGCTTTAAGTAAACACAGGTTTCATAGGGTTATAAACTCATAGGGTTATTTATAAATAATTAAATTAATTCAATCACAAACTTAAGACTTAACAAACTGCAGTCTATTATAGGTTTCTAAATAAAATATGTCTGTAGGGAACTTTTTTTAAATACATTTATGATTTATAAATGAGGTAATCAATGATGCGCTGTGAAATGTCCAGTTTAGGGATCAGTTCCAAAGCTCTGGTGCCCAACACAGTCCTCAGGACGATATGGCACAACTGCTGCAGAGACAGAGGATTACCTGCAGAAACACAGAACAGCAGATGAAATACTCTGAGACATATACTGTATAGCACCTATGCAGACTGTAACACACTCTCATAGTCCCGCAGACAGAGACTGGCAGGAGATTCTGGTTTTGTATAGTCTGTAGGTTTGTGACCCAAGTTATCACTTATGTTGACATCTCCACCAAACTCCACCAGCAGCTCCACCAGGTCCACTCTCTCGGCCCTCGCCGCATGATGCAGTGCCGTCTCATGGAACTTGGTGGCATTCACCTTTGCACCTTTGAAAGTATGAATGATAATGCAGAATAATACATAATAGTGCAAAATAAAATATATGAAGTACACCTATAAATAAAGTACCTCACCGGCATTGAGCAGCAGCAGGGCACAGTCGAAGTGAGCTTTAGCACAGGCAGCATGTAACGGCGTCCCAAAGTAAATGTCAAAGGCCTCCAGCAGCGCTCCCTTGTCTATCATAAGCTTCACACAGTCTGGGTTACCTGCACAGAGATCATGAGAACACACACAAGTCTAAACACAAAGCAAATCATCTCACCTCGCTGTCTCACCTCGTATGCAGGCCTCATGGAGTGGAGATGCTGTGAGGGCGGTCAGGGAAGGGTTGACTGATGCTCCGTGATCCACCAGCAGCTTGACACTTTCTATGCTGCCAGCAGTACAGGCATGACAGAGGGGAGTACTGCCATGGATGGTGCGTACATCCACCTGCACACACACAGTTTTTAGACTTATAGTCATGAATGAGTTTTTGCAGGGTGGGGTGTCTGTTATTAATTTAAATTTTCCAAATATCAGTGCCTTGTTATTCCTCACATCTTCTCTAATATTGTTGGCTCTAATGATGATTTGCTCATGCTCCTCTATTGCAAGTCACTTTGGATAAAAGCGTCTGCTGAATGCATACGCAATTAAGGACATCACTGAAAAGAGGCACTCGTTAAAATATACCTGGTGCTGTAACCCACCTGAGCTCCTGCCTCCAGCAGTATTTGAACACAGTGTGTATGGGCTTAGATGCAGGCATCATGTAGAGGGGTGAAGTTATCCACAGACACGATATTAACTGATGCTCCTGCTTCTATCAGTTGCTTTAATTGCAGAGCTCGACCTAGAGACGCAGCCTCGTGTACCGGCGTGCGGTCAGCCCAGTGGCCTACAAATGCATATTTATTTTCCTTTAGGTTTGAATAGATTTTATTTCAAACATAAAATCCCCCCAACCCCTCCAAATACTCACCGATGTCACCATAAAACGTTGATCGGGCAGCGGTGAGTTCCATAGTTTAATAAATCTACCTGACATTTAACAAATATTACTCATATAGCATGCGAACAACGTGCCGATAAGGTAAACTTGTTCTATATTTAGAGAAGCCGCCAGTGCGGTTTGTTATGATTTGCCACACTACGGATTGAATACGGCAAATTCGCAAAGGATCCTGGGAGATGTAGTTCCTCAGTTTGCGCTCACTACCTTATAAATAGCATTGACTCTCTTATTAATCTTTTTTAATGGCAAAACATAACTTTTATAGTAACCAAACACTTGTATGTAACAGCACACATATTTAATAACAATTTCCAAAATTAGATTAAGCTGCTGCATATATATATACATATATATATATATACATATATATATATATATATACACACATTTTGTTTTAATATATATATTTTAAAATTATGGATTATTATTAACATTTAATAATTTTTATTAAAATTTTTAATTTACCATTTTTGGGTTAGGGTTAGGGTTGGGGTTAGGTTAAAATTCAAAAAAAATTTGAATTTTGGAGTGATACTACAGCTTTTGTAGCATGATGTATTTGGTTTAAATCACGGGTGTCAAACTCGTGCTGCGTTCACGCCATATCGTAATTTCCGTAATTTCGAGATGACAGCACGTGACGTTCTACTCGGAGCTGTTCACGTCCTCGGAATTATGCTTTTCTATGGCAACACTATCAACGCCTAAACAGAGCCTGCTGTGGTCAGATGGTACAAGTAGTAGCTCTCAGAAAACTCCCAGTTCACAAGTTGTAATTACAAGTTAGTTCTATGAGGATGTGAAGGCTTTTTACAAGTTGGAATCTCGTAATTACGGGAATTCCGATATGGCCTGAATGCACCTTCAGTTCCTGGAGGGCCGGAGTCTTGCAGAGTTTTGTTCCAACCCTGCTCCAACATACATACCATGTAGTTTTCAAATAAGCCTGAAGGACTTGATTAGTTGTATCAGGTGTGTTTAATTAGGGTTGAATCTAAACTCTGCAGGGCTCCGGCCCTCCAGGAATTGAGTTTGACACCCCTGGTTTAAATAAATAAATAAACACAAAGTCAGTTTTCCACAAGTTAACATTTTTACTTTGCAGTACAGAAATCATTTGAGCCCCATCCTTTCAGCATTTGTTTGTTTTTCTTTTTTAAAACATTGGTGACTTTGCACAGGGCCCCGGTCATGTCAATACTGCCATAGACATTTTGGTCCTTGCTAAAACGTCAGAGCCGTTGAAGAGACACTGCCTGCTCCTCTCTCTGCTCTGAGGTGAGGGAGAAGGAGAGCTCCCTGATACACACTAGACAAGCAGATTCCAGACTTACAGTTAAAGCAGCTTTTTCCACTGACGTGTAATAACATCCACGTAGTAGCCTTTGAATCACGCATAACCCATCAGAAAAGAGATGCAAGGCAAAGCTGAAAGAAACCCCGGCCCTTCCGACAAGTAGCACAATTTACAGCTAATAGGGGGGTCAGTTATGTCAATTCACATGAGCATATTGCAAAACGAATACTGTGTGGCTGGACAGGGATTACATAAAAGATTAT